CCCCGCGCCCCCTCCCCCTCGCGTTAACATCTCCGCCCGCCCCTCGCCTCTTCCTTCCCTCGGCCCGCGCCGCCCGCGCTGCTCGCCTCGCTCTCCCTTTAAACGCCCACTTCGGATGGGGAAAGAAGACAACTTGAAGTCAAGTTGCAATTAACTTCCGCGGCTGCCGCAGCTCGGCGGCGGCGGCGGCAGACGAGGCTGTAGCCGCCGCCTCGGAAGTCCGACGCCGGCGCGCCAGCCCGGGGAGCCGATCCTGGTCTCCGGCCCGCGCTGCACCGCCACCGCTGCCCCCAGCGCCCATGCCTGAGTGAGTTCCGCTCCTTCGCCTCCCTTTGCCCCTGCTGCTCGTGCTCTTTTATCCCTGGCTCTGTCTCTTTTTCTTTTTCCGCAATTAATCCAAACTTCTCTGTAGCACCCGCCCGCGGCGCCCCTAGCCGGAGCGGCTCCGTGAGCTCCCGTGGGCACCGGGCGCGGGTCTCCGAGCCCCTCGCGCTCGCACAGGGAGCACGGAAGGGTGGGTCGGTGGAGCGAGGGCGGCGGCCGGGATGGAGATGTGAAGATGCCATTCATTCTCTCAGGGTGGGGACGCCCTGGCACACCTGCCGTTCAGACCCTGGTTAACTAACTCCTCGGGGTCATCGCTGTGGTCCCTTTTGGAAGATAAAGGGGGAGTGGAAGGGGCCGAAGCAAGCAGATGAGCAAGGGGGGATCTCTGCGCCCCGAGCCGGGCAGGCGCACGGTGCCCCGAGGAGTGGGCTGGGGGGCGTGGAGACGCCCCCCGCCCGGTCGCCAGTCCGCTTTGCATCCTTTCCCTGCTCATCTCCGCCTTCCTCCGATCCCTGCCAGCGCGACTGGTTGGAAGCGGCGGCGGAGAGGGGCCCGGGAAGTTTGTGACAACTTCTCCATCCCGGGAGCCACTCGGGCGCTCAAGTTGGAGCCTGGAGTTTCAAGGTGAAGCGCTCTGCGTTTGGGCCCTCGCCTGCCATTGCGAGGTCTGTCCTGGATGGGCTGCTAGGGTGGGCGCGCATGTGGAGTCGGGTTGGAGGCCCGAGGAAGTGCTGCCCTCTTAGCGGGGCCGGGACCTCACAGGTGCAGCTCCGGGGTCTGCCCCGCGTCCCCCTCTTGCGGTTCGGACCCGAGCGCTGCGGCCTTCTTCTCGGGGAGCTTCTCACTGCCGAGGCCCCCTGGGCGGCGGAACCGGGTTTTGGGCAACTACGACAAGGGGCAGGAAGCAGGCAGGTGGCAGGTCAGGCGAGGGACACGTGCGTGCTGGGGAGAAGCACTGAGCGGGACCCTGTCGGGATGACCCTGAAGAGCCAGGGGAGAGCTGTTTAGAACTCTCCTTAGAGGTTTGGGCTCTGGCCTCCACTAGGGCCAGATTGCACTTACAAAGTGTCAACCACAGGGTCATCTCTCAGAGTGCCCTGGCTGGCAACTTTGACCTCTATGCCCTTTCTCGGAGAACTTTCTCGCAGGCATTCTGGATTTCTAAGCACATGATGTAAGGCTTGGGCTCCACACGGTTGTAAAAGAGGCTGGAGGGGGGCGGGGAGGAGAAAGAAGTCCTATTCCCTGGAGAGATCCTTTCTGCCCCAACTGCCTGGGGTTCCATGTTTGCATCCTTGGAGGCCACAGGACTTGCCTTTCCCGAGAGGAGAGAGAAGGGGCCCGAGAGTGGGTAAAATGCTCCGTGGCAGGTTTTGTCCTAAGCTGTCCCTGAAATTTACAGTGGGCTGCTGACTGAGTAAGTCACCCGTCGAAACTTTATTGAAATTTACCCCCTGTCTAAAGTGGGTTTTCTGAGAATGTGAGGTTTATTCTACCAAATATTGCTGCAATGAATAAATAATCTCGTGCTCTAAGTCTGAAGAAAGCCAAGGCTGAGGTGTTTGCTCTAAAAACCTTAACTAATCTCTGTGGTACTGGTGCTATGATTTAGCAGCGGTCCTATATTTCTATTGCATATTATTTTACTAGAACAGTAGTACATTCATATACTGGCTGCTCCAGTCTGCTGGCAAACATTAGCATTCAGGCTTACATTTTTGACAAATGTGCAGACAGGAATAGCATGAATAGGCATCTTAAATATTAACAACCTAAGCATCTGTTGTGAAACAAATTTAATATATTTACTCCGTTTTTCTCACATTGTTAGAAAAGGTTATAATAAGTGCATAATTTCAACTTTAGTTAACAGAAGTAACTGGCTGTATCTTTCACTACCTCTCCAAGTGTTTAACACAATCACCAGTCATAAGTACTTTAATTAACTTGGTTAAGCACATTATTAAATACGCTTTAGACAGTATGCATGCAACGTAACATGTAGCAGCAGCAAAATATGTATCGTATTTGTGCACATTTAAAATGACTACATTTTATAAATATACCAAATATGTTTCTTCTTCATCTCCATTTGACACTTATTACTTCATATTTTTTCTAATGGAAACAATATTTTAAATGTAGAGTTCTTCAGTCATATGTAATATATAATAGGTAAACAGTAGCTATAAAGTACAAAGCATTGTTAAATTTGAATATGACTACACCTAACAAGATTATGCAAGAGAAATAAAATCACTCTTCAATTTTGTATTCAGTTCTGAATAATGAATACAAATGATGGATGAAAAAAAAACAAATAGGGATTTCCCTTCTAAAGTACTAGCTCCTTAAAATGTGTGTGTGTGAAGGGAGGATAAAGAAGACCTAAAGAATTTCCAAAAAGTCTGAATAGTTATTACCAGAATCAATGCATTCCTCACTTTCCCACAAGCTGAAATATGTAATAAATAATAGTTCTTTGTATGTAAAAGTATTCAGAAGGAATGTCTTTTGTTCAGTTGTTGTAATAAATTAGTATATTTTCTGGTTGATAATCTACAAAAGTAGTTCTTTTGTCTCCCAGCATCTTAAACAAGAACAACAAAAAATATTGGTTTATTTCTGCAAAGACCTCTGTTGCTAGCTATATGAACCTGTGATTGAATAAGACACAATATACTGAATGATAGTTAAGAAGTACTACGTTAAATTAGAAACAAATGAAATATCTAGAGGAGAATTTCAGGTTTTTTTTTAATGTGACAGGTTATGGATTGTAAATTAAGCCTAAAAGGTCAGGTGACAAGCACCTGTTCCTCATTATTGTAAAATTCTTTTGGTTACAAACACTATTAGGCTAAACACAACATGGATATACAGTAGGGACGCTATAAAGCACTCTAGTGGTTTTTCATGTGCTCTGTAAATTTCCAAAAGGGCCATATATAGATATGCCCTTTACGCAAATGCATCATTTCTTCCATACATTGTCTCAGATGACTGCAATTAATATTATATTTGTACTTGGAATTGATGAAGTACACAAGTATATATGACTAAATCAGTCTTCAGGTTATGTCTAGACATATTTGTAGTTGAATGCATAAACATTCCTTTTCAAAACTCCTCCTTTACCTTTAGAATCGATTGATCAGTTATCAGAATGTTGGTATAAAAACCTTTTATACTTGTATTTTATACTTTTTAGATGTGCCTCACTTTAAATGATACCACGAAGTGTTTTCTTCAGTACTCACACATAAGGGGAAAATTAATTGCTATATATCATCATAGCTTTATGGCATTTACAAAATAGGAAGAAAATCCACAATTGATGTGAATGCCATTAGGAAGCATATCATCTGATCTTCAAACTTGCTGCTTCTCTCAGGAGCATTCAGAATTCTTTCTACTGGAATTAGGGAATACGCTTGACTTTTATGAATAGTTTACTTTTAGATCTTTCAGAGAACAAAATAAACATGTATATGAAAAAGACCAAACTAGCACGAGGCTACAAAATAATAAAGGGGCTAATTGGTGAAGGAGGATTTTGAGTAAATTACATAATTCAGATTACTGAATTCTATGTTATTTAAATATATTCTTTGTCATTCTTGTTTTTAAATAGTTTGGGTTTATTATATTGCCTTCATTTTTAGCATTTGTGATCAGATTACACAACAGCCATTACTCTTGCTTTTCAAATTGATTTGGTTTCCAAACTCCAAAACTCTGTGATGATTTTAACAAATTGATTTACATTTTGACAGAACAGAGTTAAGTTAATTAATAGATCAGGCACGAAAAAATCATCCATGGTCGGGTATATTTTCTGGTAAAATGAAAGTTATGTTTCAGCGTGATGAACATCAGGCTTCAGTAATCTGTTCCTCCTGTGGAATGAACACTTCCTACTTCAAGCTAGCAGGCACCTACTGTTTATTTACGCTGCATTAAACTGACAGCTCAGCAATCAGAGGAAAAATATTACTTACCTTCCTGAAGTAAATACCAGTTTATAGGTTAGTGCATGTATTTATATTCCTGTCACCACTAAATAACGGCTCTGTCTCCGTTTTAATATCTACCTGTGCTATAACCCAGGGCTTCTGACTCTTCTTGGTTGGGAGTAGGGGTCGAGAGGAGTTTTGCTTATCATTTCCCAGTGGCAAAACTTTAAAGAAGAGTAATTTCATCTCATTTCTGTCATGT